TTGCTATTTGCATGCTTAATTAATGCATTTGCCTAATTTGCATATGTCAGCAATATGCAAATTAGGTAAAGGCATTAATTAAGCATGCGAAAGGCTGACTTTTTAGAACAAAATGAATAGTTAAAGGGCTTAAACTAAACCAAATTGTCTGAACTTTTGTACAGTAATTAAAAACCGGACAAATTTTCCATCTATTAACTCAAAATATGATTACAGCTTTTAAATTTTGTGCGCGAGCCATTTTTAGTTTGTTGGAAAAGACCCCCCCCCCCCTGGTTCACAAAATTTGAGTTCGAGAAATTTTTTTCATTATTTTACATTATAAGTACCCAAAGAAGCTATATATATATATATATATATATATATATATATATATATATATATATATATATATATATATATATATATATATATATATATATATATATATAGTCTAGGACCTGTATATGAGTTTGTATGCGATTCATTTAGGACAGGTAATCTCATATATATATATATATATATATATAGTCTAGGACCTGTATATGAGTTTGTATGCGATTCATTTAGGACAGGTAATCTCAACTGTTTTAGGGTAAAATGACCATGGCGGTCAACATGGAATATGTGCGAAAACCTGAATCCGGGGCGAAAGTCCTGAAAATGACCCTGCCCTGAAACGGCAGTGTCGACATAGCTCTAACTTCCGAAAAGGAAAAGCGATAGCCTTTCTGAAGTGCTTATAGTGTTTAGAAGGGTTGCTTTTAGGGGTGGTCATTGGAAGGAAAAATTTGTCGAAGTATAATATTGCTGATTATGCACAAAATAACTAATATGCCTGGCAGAAATTAAATATTCTTATTTCCTAAAAAAAATTATCATGGGGTAAAAAACTATGCTTAATTTAATATAAATATTGTTGATTTCATAAGGATTGTCATTGTTTTCTTTAAATATAATACATTTTATTTCACTTACCCCCACGACAATACGATTTCAGCCATATTTTGCCATTTTGTTTGCTTTTTATCGCCGAATCTCGCAAATATCATCCAGTTATTGTACTTTTACATAATCATAAATGGCTGAAGAAGATTTCAAAGAAGGTTTCATCCATTTTAGAAACAGTGCAGTGTATTTTATCTTCGATATTGTGTCCTTCGATATTTCGTCAAATTGCCGCCATTTTAATGGCTCGCCGCTTCTCTGCCCGATAAATGCCACTTCTTCGTTTTCATATGTATTTAGATTACATTATCCAAGAGTACTTCCTTGTAGAATAGTACCAATCCAAAAATTGAAAATATTATTGGTACTTGGGAGGAAAAAACCTCCCATAATAGTTGTCCTGTTTGAATTCAAAAGAGATAATTTAAAAGTCACGCGCAAGTTCGCGAAAACACCTCGTGGGTTACATAACAGGGGGGAGTGAATATTTTCACGAAACGTTTGTTTGCCACCACAGGCCACAGCAACCTAACTAAATACATTATATTTATTGTATATTTGTGATTTATGATAAAAGCAATAAATATTTGCGTATCAATTATAAAAATACAAAAAATATAATACATTTAGTTAGGTTGCTGTGGTGTGTATAACAGGTGTGTATAACTATATCATATTTGCTATAATTGATGGTCTGCAATCAATCTCTTGAGATTTACAAGACAAAGACATGGCGGCCATGTTGGAGGAAAACACGCTCCAAATACAATAGCTGTTCATGAGATTCTTTTGTTAGTTTCCAACATGACCGACATGACATCAATTGCCAACAAAGAAAATGCTATTAGTATTATTATATTAAAGTTCATTAGTTTCATTGCAATCGATCAGGTGCAAAATATCAGGCATGCATGTTTTCATTCATTTCATTTTCTGGATAGAATTTATTCGATCAAGGATTACAACTTCATTTCCTTTATATAGGCCTACCCAACAAGTATAGCTAAACATTTGCAGCATATTAATGTTGTCTTTATCCCGGCTTATTCCTTAAGATACATCTTATGCCTTGTTGACCGCTATGGTTATTTTACCCAAAAAAACAGTTGAGATTACCTGTGCTAAATGCGTTTGCATACAAACATCTATACAGGTCCTAGACCTAGACTATCAATGAAAATCGAAAAATCACGTCGCGTTGTCGAATCGCGTCCCGACGGTCCGGTGTGTATCGACCTTTACGCTGTACTGGCTGCATACTCCGCCTTCTGCCGCTCTGGCCAGTAAACTGCATGGTTTTGCATAAAAGAAAACGAGGACACGTTGTACTGCTGAGCGGCCCTTCTGTTTAGTACTGATCTTTGTTCTGTGACTTTGGCTCGCACTTTGCCGACAATCACGTTATGTTGAGTTAATTAAGTAAAACAAGGAAATAGAAGTATTGAACCCGCAGAATATTGTGGCGAACGGAACAACAATACAGCCGTGCGACTTTAGACCTATATTGCTTTCAAAAGACACTAGGCTTCTCAAAGAGTCAAGAATTAAATGCATTTTCTTAAATTTGCAGCATAATAATGAATTTCTTCTATCTTATAAGCAATATCTATGCACAATAAGTTCCCCATCCAGCCCAGTCAAGCAATTTTTTTGTGAATTTATCACCTTGGCATATGATCATTGTTCCACAAATTTTCGTTCTGACATGCAAATACAAACAAACAAGCACACGAAGTGACAAGAGACCTAGGAATGCATTCCTGGCGAGTCCCGAGTTCACAGGAGGCAGGAAGTGTGTCTCATATTTGCATATCAAGTTTCAATTACTGTCGAAGCCGGAAGAACTTCACACCATATAAAACAACACACCATATTATAGCGTTTGGTAACCAACTTACAGGAATATTCTTATATTCCTAAAGCAGGTACGTAATTATGTAATATTATAATAGATTTTGACTATTAATCCAGTATTGACTATTGGTATTATTCGTTAAAAGTTCATATATCGCAACCACATATTTCCCTTCGTTTTGTTTGCTAAGCCTAAAGACCGTCTAAATTAATGTAATATTAAAGCGATTGAATACCAGTAGGATAGAACCATTGACAGAACGAAAATATTTTGAAAGTATATTGAAAATATGATAGTCAAAGAAGATAACTGATAGAAGCAACTTGCCAATAATTGTCAATAATTAATCAATATTTAGTAGCCCATATATCGACAAAGATATTTTGTATGCATAAAATGCCTTCGTATATTTGTTTGCGAAAAAATCATGATATTAACGTTGACTTGGTTAGACGTAACGTTGAGTGTTAAGGTCAACGTGAGTCGTGAGTTACGTGACGTTAACTGCCAGCAAACAACGTCAAAATGGCAGTACTATATGTCCAAGTTCAGTGGAAGGGCTCTCCTTAACTGACTTCATTCTAAGAACAAACTGCACGAACCACATTATGACGAGCAGTTAATAAAGAAATAACTATAATATACAGCTAATTCAAAAAGCAACCTCCTTTGCAAACCTTAAACTCTAGACCTTAAACTCTAAGCGTGCAAAGCATAATGGGAGCATCCTTTAATCAGTTTAGAAATCATATATGCATGGGGCCCATTTCTTAGAGACATGGTAAATATCTCCTTACGAGAACAATTCATTCACAAATAGCTGCAATATTCAACTACTATTAGCTTGAAACTTGTGCTCCCATTAAACTTTGCGCGCTTAGAGTTTAAGGTTTACGATTTAGGGTTTAAGGTTTGCAAAGGGCAATCTTTTCTGAATTGGCTGTATACATGCTAGTATATAACAGCGGTTTTCGCCAGTAGACAAAAATGAGCATAAAATTTTTACTAGTACATTAGGCAAATTCAGGTCCGAGCCTTAGTCATAGATGGCCAGAAAATTTGAAACGGGCCACCCCCAAAAGATGAATTTGGTAAAATTGTGAAATTTGGACCCCTTTTTTTAGTAGACATGATTTGCGTATTCTTTTTTTACATGTGATAGTCCGGAAATTTTTTTTAACCTTTTTTAACGAATTCTCCCTCCCCCCCCCCTCCCCCACTTGCCAACTTTTTCCGGGATAAAAATAGGGCCCCAGTTAAAAATTTTACGGGGGGCCCCAGGAGGCAGTGTGACCAGATTTGGTAAAAAGTTTTACTTTTGGTAAAATTTCGTAAATTTTCAAGAAAATTTGGTAGTAATAAGTTGTTTTTTTGTGGAAAGGTTTTAATTATTCATCAATTAATAATCATTTTGGTAAAAATGTATGTTTCTTATGTTTGCGATGTTACTCTGAGTGCATATCCACACCGGGCGAGCAGAACTGCCAAGAACAGAACTGCCAAGTGTAAGAAATAAAGAACTGCCAAGTGTAAGAAATAAAGCCTTATATATCATTAGCAAAAACAGCAATACGATGAAAGCAACAAGTATTTCGAGATACTTTTTGTGCATATTTTTTCTACTTTGATGACGTAACTATTGTTTTTTGGCATTATTATGACGTATTATTTAGGAAATAGACATTTGGTAAAATTTTTCTTAATTTAGTAAAATTTGAACAAAAGTTTGGTAATGACTGCTGAAAAAGTCTGGTCACACTGCCAGGTTACGTTATACGCGTAAATACACAGAATTCATCCTGCTTCATAGCATGCCGTCTGTTGCCCAGTACGTGACTGACAGTTTGTGCATGCGAACTAAGTTAAAGCGTATATTTACATGCACTGTTGTGGTTGTGAAGTTATTGTTAGAGATGTGATGCACATTTAATCAGATGTTTATTTTAAAGGCTTTGACGGAAACTATTCGGGCCTGTCGCCTTAAATGAAAGGTATACACTTATACTTGAAAAAATTGACGACATTCATGACATACTGTATATAGTATAAACCGCCTGAACTTGTGGTTAATGGCTCTTGGTAGTTGGTAACTGCATGGAGTCTGTAAAGGAAATCAATTTGTTTGGTAAATTGATATAGTTTTAGAAATCCAATAACGAATAAACGATATTCACAGTTATTGACAAATAATAAAATAAATTATTATATAAACATAAGTGTTATATAGAGTTTTTGGCCACTGAGAAAAATCGTATTTAAACACACGTAAAAAATACGATATTTTTACGTGTGAAAATATCATTTGTTGAAAGACTCATTGCCACGGACGTTTTATTTGTTTTTTTTCTCTGCATTTTGTTTATATAATAAACAGAAAAATACATGGGTGCTTGGAAATACCAGATTTATTTCTCGGCGAACGAGTGAGATATCATGTTCAACACTCGAAATAAATCTGGTACTTCCGCGCACCCATGTATTATTCTCTATATCACAAACCACCTACTAGCCTGCGTACAGCCTCAACCAAATATATTTTTTAATATGTGATATTTGAGGCTGCACGCAGACTAACCGCCTACCTGCCTCTTTGGCCGGTTTTGCACAACGCAAATTTTTTCGCACAAAGTACCTTTTTCCTTTGTTATACGTCAGCTAACGCTATGCCGGGTTGCTGTCAAAGGAACAAGTCACTTTGTTGCGCATGTTTGCCCTCTTTATATTTCTTTAAACAAATCATAGGCATATTTTCTTGGGTTTAACACACACACAGTCACTCACACACACAAACGGCCAGAAAAGTTCAATACATTTCGTTCCCTCTTCTAAAAAAAGATGGCGTTTTTTAAATGATTTAAAAAAGGCTATCTTTTTTTAGAAAGGGGAACGGGCAAGCGCGGATCGAATATCATCATATTCCCCCTTTTAAAGATATTTAAAAGGGGGGGGGGGTGATATTCCGCCATTCCCCGATTCCCCCATTCCCTGTCCCCCCTTTGAAGATAGCCTTGCTTTTAGGATTGTTTGATTTAGTTTGTTTTCGTTCCATTTAATCTGGTATTTAAGATCGTTATTTCACATTTAATGCTCAAGGGTTAATTTCCACCCCCCACTAATGCCATTACTACTACTGCGCAGACACTGGAGGAAGGAATGCCAAAGGACCCAGGGCCGTAGCGAGGGGGTGTTGGGGGGTGACTTTAGAATTAACATATTCGGAAAATCAGGTTGGCCATTCGGAAAATTACGGCAATAATAGTATAACAAAATTTTAGACTTTTAGTTGTTAATTAAACAGAGAAAATATAATATAATTGCATATATGCCAGTATAAACTGATTTACGATATCATGGCATTTGCATGGAAAACTAAACAAATCGTAAATCGGTAAATGTTTTTCGGTTTATTACAGCCCTCACAATAATTTGCTAATAATAATTGTATTTTCAAAATCTTGCAGACCTTTATCATTTAAATAATATACCTTTAAAATACTGACAATTAATTAATTTTAAGCGGCTACATTATCCATGACAAACTGCAAAGAATCATATTACCCATACTTTTCTGCATCTTCTCCAATATATAGTTAATACGCCTTCGCCCATTTAGTACTACTAAATTGTAAGCAAATTGTATAAATTTCGACATACTAAAACGCTGTTTTCTGACCATCAGAATTCTGTCAAAATTTCCTCAAAGTCCAAGAAATGGCATTGCAGAGACTCTAAATTTAAACATTTCCTCGGGCCTTCGGCCCTCGTTTTCAGCCCCCAATCAAAGAGCTTCCTACGGCACTGCATGCTTCTGTAATATGTCTGTGCGTAAATATGCGTATTTTTGTTTGTAAATTGCGTCTTCATTTTCCAGATAGCAAACACCTTCGTGGCTTCGTATGCCATGAAATATTCGGAAATTTTCTTCGTTATTCGGAAATTCTTTTTGACCTTACACTTCCAAATTCATACAGTACATGCTAGCTACGGCCCTGAAAGGACCCAGAGAAACCTCGTTTCTAAAGTCTAATTTGAAGTAGCTTTACTATGTGTGAGATGTGGTATTTCCTTCTGCAACCACACATGTGTAAATTGATCAATTTTATTTTCTTTGTTTCTTTAGGTTAATTCAATAAGATGACCAGCTCAGTTTTTGCCGTTTTATTTGGTCTGAATTTTGTGTTATTCCCTTGTGAAGGTACGACTCTAATTAACCAGATATATAGAACAGCAACTTATCCTGCGTTCATATAAAGCTATCATGCCTTTGCATATAATAATGGGAGTGTTTTGCGCATCGCAATTTGTGCTTATCATATTTTGAGTTAACAGATGGAAAATGTGTTTGGTTTTTAATTACTGTACAAAATTTCAGACAATTTGTTTTAGTTTAAGCCCTTTAACTATCCATTTTTTTCTAAAAAATCAGCCTTTCGCGTGCTTAATTAATGCCTTCCCTAATTTGCATATTGCTGACATATGCAAATTGGACAAACCATTAATTAAGCATGCAAATTGCTGATTTTTTAGGAAAAATGTAAGTTTGCGTGGATAGTTGAAGGGCTTAAACTGAAGCAAATTGTCTGAAATTTCGTGTAGCAATTAAACGCCCAACACATTTTTCATTGATTAACTCAAAATACGATTATAGCTTTTAAATCGCATGCGCAAGCCATTTTTAGTTTGTCGGAAAAGACACCCCCACCCCCCACCCCCGTTTACAAAATTTGTGTTCGCGAAATTTTTTCATTATTCTACATTATAAGTACCCAAAGAAGCCATATATATCAAAAGCTGGATACTAATAGCTGTTTTAAGAAATTGAGAGCAATTTCAAATCTGTTCAGTTTTTTTTTATACACCCTGTATATATAAATTTTCATATGAATATAGCTGAATATGTATGACACTATTTTATTAATGCTATTTTCTTCCTTTTCTTCGTCCTTAGAGGGCAAAATGTCCTTATCTCGCCACACTCTTATTCTCAGAAAGGGGTTACTGGTTAGCGGAAAATTGAATAATGATATTTTACCTTAATTAAAGCAACAATGAAATTAGAAAAAAAAATGCATTAGCAAAATGTTAAAAACGTACAGCAAATTGTCTGCTATAATGGGTTATTCCAGAATACATCTACAATTTCCCCTACAAATAATGTTGGAAGTTCAGACATCCTTGAACATTTTCTCATTATCAGGCATACATTTATTTCTATCCCCCTCCATACATCACAAGTTTTAGGGGAGTGTCAATCATTTCAGTCACAACCTAATGGCCAGGATTATAATGTCAATGCCAATAAAGGTACCTGAGATTGTTTTGAACATTTCGATTATTTAATAGAAATGTATTGATTATTGATTTCTTTGTGTAGGTCAAGTTTCCCCCCCGTCCAGTGGTGACACCTTTGTTGTTCTCCCTGGAGAAGATGTGACAATAACATGGACACTTCATGTCGGTGCACCTAACATAGGTTTTTGATGGTGGACATTTCTTTCAAAGAGCAGTTTTGCTCATATTCTTAATGATGGAGATGTGGTTAACACCACCCAAAACTCGCCTGGGCCATTTACAATAACAAAACCTTCAACACTGATTTTAAAAAACGTTAATATC